TTTTTTGGCCAACTTGTTGCTGGGGAAATTAAAAGCGCAACATGCATCAAAGACGTGTCACAAACACGCCAGAAATGCATAAAATATGCACTCAAAATGCAGAACTTGTGTTTTATATGTGGTTCCATTGAAGTCTATTGGACTAAAAACGCAAACTGCTGTCCCTGACCCTTTCCAAAAAACGTGCCTGCAAAAACTGCATAGATGTGAACGTGATCAGTAGGAAATCATGATAAATGGCATGCACTGCGTCCTGCAAAACACAAAATGCATACAAAATGCACAGGCGTGAACCTGGCCTAATAGACTGATATGAGTTCAAATGTAGGTAATGAATAAAAAAAAAACTGTATTCAGTGATGTATTAATGAATACAGAACAGCATTCATTTGTGTCTTTTTTATTTCCCTGAGTGGAATAAATACACTGCTCAAAAAAATTAAAGGAACACTTTTTTAATCAGAGTATAGCATCAAATCAATTAAACTCCTGGGATATTGATCTGGTCAGTTAAGTAGCAGATCAATATGTCCCATTGCCAGAAGGTTAGCTGTGTCTCCCAGTACAGTCTCAAGAGCATGGAGAAGATTCCAGGAGACAGGCAGTTACTCTAGGAGAGCTGGACAGGGTCATAGAAGGTCCTTAACCCATCAGTAGGACTTGTATCTGTTCCTTTGTGCAAGGAGGAACAGAATGAGCACTGCCAGAGCCCTACAAAATGACCTCCAACAGGCCACTGCTGTGAATGTCTCTGACCAATCAGAAATAGACTTTATGAGGGTGGCCTGAGGGCCTGACATGCTCTAGTGGGCCCTGTGCTCACTGCCCGGCACCATTGAGCTGGATTGGCATTTGCCATTGAACACCAGAATTGGCAGGTCCACCACTAGCGCCCTGTGCTTTTCACAGATGAGAGCAGGTTCACCCTGAGCACATGTGACAGACGTGAAAGGGTCTGGAGAAGCCGTGGATTAGGTATCGGGATGAAATCCTTGGACCCATTGTCAGACCCTATGCTGGTGCAGTGGGTCCTGGGTTCCTCTGGGTGCACGACATTTCCCCGTTCTCCTGTGGCAAAAGTATGCAGGCAGTTCCTGGAGGATGAAGGAATTAATACCATTGAATTGCCCCCCATGCTTGCCTGACCTAAATCCAATAGAACACCTCTGGGATATCTTGGTTCAGTCCATCCTACGCCTCCAGTTTGCACCTCAGACTGTCCAGGAGCTCAGTGATGCCCTGGTCTAGATCAGGCAGGAAATACCCCAGGACACCATCCATCGTCTCATTAGCAGCATGCCCCAATAATGTCAGGCATGCATACAAGCACTGGGGACCATTCTGACTTGCTGCAATGAAATTTCAGCAAAATGGACTAGCCTACTGCATCATTTTTTCACTTTGATTTTCGGGGTGTCTTTGAATTCAGTCCTCTGTAGGTTGATAATTTTTATTTCCATCAAGCAATGGGGCATCCTTACGTTGGTAACACATTACCCAGCCCATATCAGTATAGATATCCAGCATGATATTTTTCCCCATTGAGATCTGATGTATTTTAAAAGTGTTACTTTAATTTTTTTTGAGCAGTGTATATAAGCAGAGGATACTTTCATTGAATAATGCATTTCAAAATGACCAGTAGATTTGGAATATAAGCAACTAAATTTAAACGCAAATTTTGAGCTTTTCTGCAGAAATGGAGCTTGGCCCCTTCTCCTCCCACACTGCAGCTTTTATATTGGTCAGTGATGCCTATCATATTCAAGAATCAGTAACAACGTCAAAGGAGGTGTTGATAAAATCATCTTTTATGGTGAAAGATGAAATTCACCTATAACTTCAGCAGTCTATAATTATGGATTATTGATATGCAGATTGATTGATTTAGTCGAAAAAGTATTGATTTCAACTTTGCTGTAATTTTGCCAGAATTAGCTTCAAATTTCACAATGAAAACTGCATAGGTTACATTTGTGAAAATAAATCACAAAGCTTTGTGATTTATGCTCTCAATTTACACCTAGATAGAAATACTAGACATAAAGAAGACAGCACTTGGTTGAAAAATATGCAAGTAAAATAAATGTTAAAAAAAGGAATAAAATATTTGTAAAGTTATAAAAAAAAGGTTTCACTTTCATTCTTTTGTCAATTTATATGAAACGATAGGGTTAGGGTTCTAATGTCATGTTTTCAGCCAATGAGGGACATTGTTGGCACAAGAAATGAAAAACAAAATATAGTTGAAAGGTACGTCTGTAATCCTCAGAAACCATTTAAAGACAATTGCATGCTTAAAAAACCACTAAAACCACCCCAATTTTGTATTCCCCGCTGACTTCAATGCATTTGCTGAAATGGAAAATTTCCCAGAAATGTCCCTTTTTTACTTGAAATTGTATTCATCCCAGCTCATTTGTGAGTAATTGTAACACTACAAAAAAGCTGAATGACAAGAAGGCTGAAGCTGAAGGTAGCATTGTATCTGCTGGAGAACCCTGGGATTAGATTACATAATAAAAAATAATAAATTACATTCTGGTTGGTATATTTTACATCTTTGTGTTCCCTAAATGAAGGCCATATGCAGATTTAATTTCCATTTGTTGAACCAAATATAAGGACTTTCTGGATGACATTCTTTTTTTTTCAATACCTCTTGAATAAAGTTGCATTTTTTATTCTTCTCCATATTTTTTATTGTTTGGGGTTATTTTAAGTTATTTCCCAACGGGATGCACTTTGAATATTTCAGCTGACTTTACACCTTTGTGTTGCATGGTAGTGCGTGGTAGGGGTTCTTTTGGGGGGTCAGTTATTACCTGAACTGTGACAAAACTTGGAGGCCCATATAAGGTATGGCAGTTCAACTTGATCATTAGTGGTTCTCCCAGGAGCCAGGTCCCCGAGAGAAAAAGCAAAAATTCATTGTATCTGAGAACACTGTTTAATTCATTTTCCAAGTTCAAACATTTTTATTGAATACATGATGTTCCACCATGCGCAGACCAGTGTCTTCAAAGCAGGAGATCCTCTTTGCAGGGAGTATAGTACATACAATTTTAAGTTACAAGGATAGATATTAGGCAGGACCCTCTTGGAGGGAGGATAACCAAGATGCAGGTAAGCATCCTCTAAGTGTCAATGTCAACTAAATATCAAAATCTTAATGGATAGGGAGAGAAGTAGGTAAGCTCTCTGGCGCTTGATTGGCCTACCCCAGACATAGCTCGGGTTTTTAGTTGCGAGCTGACCAACACTGGGTAGACAAATTGAGAGTTTCAAAGAAAAGGAAAAGGAGAGGGAAGGGGGGACCAAAAAAGGATAAGGAAAAGGTGGTTCCAGAAGTTGTCCCAGGAGTCATTCGAAGAGTGTCAGGAGGTAGCTTAGTTATCAATGAGGTTACGGTTTCAAAACAGTACTATTAAAATCGGGAGGCAAGAATTTATTGATCTAGGGTTGCCAGACTTTCGTATAGCACCTGACCATGTCCTACAAGGTGGCCTCAATTTTTGCATTGTAATTGTAAGTTCCTCCTGCGCTTCTTATAGGGTGGTCAGTGTATAAATAAGCAGCCAACACTCTATCTTAAACCTTATAAGTAACTGTGTAAAACAATAATAATTGTGTGGCGCTATACCATAAAAGTGACATGGTATAGCCCCTGGGGATTTGTTTTGATTGGTTTGTTCTTTCACTATAGAAGGTCCTGGGGAGGACCAGTTTTCACATTATTGGGCACTACGCAGTTTTTGACACTAATTAGATCCGTATTGGATCATATCACTATAGATTTGTTTTTTGCATGTATATTTAATTCATTTTTTATTTATTATTATCACTGATTAAGGTATATATATTTTTTTTGTCACTCAGTTTTTGCATGTATCATCACGTACATAACTCTATGTTTAGTGGTGACTGTACAAAGTGCCGGTGTTTTCCGGGATCTAGTGACAGTCTATTTTGCAGCAGTTGTAATGAGAAAAAGGAGATGAGACTGGTTCCTAATCAGTTCCGGGGGGGCTACATTCAGCAGAGCCAGCTGAGGTTTTGATTGCAGGGGTCAAATAGGTATGAGAGAATTTGAAAGACTTTTTCTCAATAGGACTTCATGAGAGGACAGGTCTACCACGTGTGGAAATAAGCCTTGAAAACAGGCAGGCAATTAACCTGGGACATATTTCGCTATCCTGGCCTAACTATCTTGACAGTACTTTATAGCAGGGCTCAAAATTTCAAGTCCTGAGCTACTAGCCAGGCCTTAAGAGTTATTGGCCACTAGTTGCCCCACCCAACCCCTGCCCTTCCCAGCCGCTAGTTCTGCCCCTAAACACGCCTTCCTAAATTATCTAATGAAATGACACTGTTAAATGTTTTATGCATAATAAAGTTGCAAAAATAAATATTAACAACAATAACAGTATTACATAAAGCAATGTAAGCATAAAAGGAAAATAAGTGCTGAGGCACTATTTCTCCTTTTGACACCAAAGTTGAGGCACTACTCCTTCCACTGACACCAATGATGGGGCACTATTCCTTCCATTGATACCAATAATGGAGCACTATTCCTCTCATTGATACCAATGATGGGGCACTATTCCTCCCACTGACACCAATGAAGGGAACTATTCCTCCCACTGACACTGATCGAGGGGCACTATTCATCCCACTGGCACCGATCATAGGGCACTATTCCTCCCACTGGCACCAATAATGGGCACTATTCCTTCCACTGACACCAATGATGGGCACTATTCCTCCCACTGACACCAATGAAGGGGCATTGTTCTGCCACTGACACCATGATGGTGCACTAATCCTTCCATTGACACCAATGATGGGGCACTATTCCTCCCCTGACACCAAGCATGGGGCACTATTCCTCCCACTAACACCAAGCATGGGGCACTATTCCTCCCACTAACACCAAGCATGGGGCACTATTCCTCCCACTGACACCAAGCATGGGGCACTATTCCTCCCACCTACACTAAGCATGGGGCACTATTACTCCCACTGACACCAAGCATGGGGCATTGTCCCTTTTACTGATACCAATGACAGGGTATAATTCCTCCCACTGATACAAACATTATTCTTTTCACTGAAACCAAGGTTAAGAAACTACTACTCCCAATGAAAGTCCAGGGAACCTTGGTGTCTTCACCACCATGCAATAATCCCACTTCATTCACTGAAGCGTGCACACCTCCAGCCTTAACTGAGATACCAGGGAATCTCAGCATCTCCACAATTATACATGCTGCATGCTTCCGTGGTGGAGGAATGAAGTAGAACTATTGCATGGTGGTGGAGACACCGAGGTCCTTGGATTTTCAGCTAAGGGTTGAGATGTCCATGCACACCTCCCACCTTAACTGAAATCCGGGCACCTCAACCTCAAAGAGAGGAGCGAGAGAGAGGGAGGGGGGTCAGAGAGGGGGTGAGAGAGAGGGGGTGTGAAAGAGATGGGGGTTGGTCAGAGAGAGGGGGTGAGAAAGAGACCCCTAGCCCTGTCCCTGTCTGCAGTCCCTCCTGTGCCCCCTATTCCCAGGACCTGTTTGCAGTGTGTGTGATGATTGGTACGGTACCTTCCATGCCAGCAGGATGTTCAGTCGGTGATGTCCAGTGATGGCCAGCAGCGGGCAGGGTCTGTCTTCGCTTTGGGTGAGGTCAAGAGGTGCTCTGCTCCATCCAGCGGATCTATGTGATGAGATGGAGTGGTCCCTGACTGCCTGTGCCTCCCACCTGTCCCTGTTCTCTGGGCCCCCAGTCAGCCTGTCTTCTGGTCTTGTGAGCGGAGAAGAGGTTGTGTGTGCATGCGCCCGGTGTCACCATAGCAACATCTGACGCTGCAGCGGCCCTCGGATACAGACAGCTAGACGAGCCACAGGAGACAAGCACTGGGGCAAAAGGGTGTGAGAGAAGGTGCAGGACCGGTCAGTAATGGGAAAGAAGTATCCAACAATAACACTTACCCACATGTTATTTTTACACTAGCCAAAAGTATTTATTTCAGGTACTTATATAGCGATGTCAATTTACGTAGCACTTTACTTGTGTATTTGTGTTCAAAATAGCAGCAGTGTGTTGAAAAAAGTGAATAAAGCTCAAAATCCTTCTAATAGCTTTTATTTCCATACACACAAATGCATTGGGAACACTACACATTCTATTCCAAATCAAAACATGAAGAAAAATATATCACATTTGTGTTGTTCCTCTAAGAAAATTGTCAAAGTGAATATTAGACTGTTCAAAAAAAATAGCAGTGTTTGTATTCTTCTTTACAAACTCAAACATTCACTATATAAACTGAAAAATGTTTGAAGATTTTGCTTTCCTTTGAACCACTTAATTAATATTTAGTTGTATAAGCACAGGTATTCCAGCCCAGGATGATTGGACTACATTCCACAGTTCTTCTCTATTTCTTGGTTTTGCCTCAGAAACTGCATTTTTGATGTCACCCCACAAGTTTTCTATTGGATTAAGATCTGGGGATTGGGCTGGCCACTCCATAACGTCAATCTTGTTGGTCTGGAACCAAGATGTTGCACGTTTACTGGTGTGTTTGGGGTCGTTGTCTTGTTGGAACACCCATTTCAAGGGCATTTCCTCTTCAGGATAAGGCAGCATGACCTCTTCAAGTATTCTGATGTATTCAAACTGATCCACGATCCCTGGTATGCGATAAATAGGCCCAACACCGTAGTATGAGAAACATCCCCATATCATGATGCTTGTGCAACCATGCTTCACTGTCTTCACAGTGTACTGTGGCTTGAATTCAGTGTTTGGGGGTCTGACAAACTGTCTCCAGCCACTAGACCCAAAAAGAACAATCTTACTTACATCAGTCCACAAAATGTTGCGCCATTTCTCTTTAGGCCGGTCAATGTGCTCTTTGGCAAATTGTAACCTCTTTAGCACATGTCTTTTTTTTCAGCAGTGGGACTTTGCGGGGGCTTCTTGCAGATAGCTTGGCTTCACATAGGCGTCTTCTAATTGTAACAGTACTCACAGGTAACTTTACACCTTGTTTGATCTTCTTGGAGCTGATTGTTGGCTGAGTCCTTGCCATTTTGGCTATTCTTCTATCCATTCAAATGGTAGTTTTTTTGCTTTCTTCCACGTCTTTCAGGTTTTGGTTGACATTTTAAAGCATTTCCATCATTTTAGCTGAGCAGCCTATCATTTTCTGCACTTCTTTATATGTTTTCCCCTCTCCAATCAACTTTTTAATCAAGGTACGCTGTTCTTCTGAACAATGTCTGGAACGACCCATTTTCCTCAGAATTTCAGAGAGAAATGCACTATAACTAGCATGTACAACATTTGCTGCCTTCCTTCCTTAAATAAGGGCAATAATTGCCACCTGTTTTTCAAAGAATTAATGACCTAATAGAACTCCACACTGCTATTATTTTGAACATGCCCCTTTCAATTAGTGATTCAATTACACAGACTCAGCAGCGTGCATGTCATGACTATTGGGTCTGTTGGATTTCTATTACTCTACTACACCTGCTAGTAAATTATTTGCCATGTAGAAATATAATTTCTACCAAAAACAGTGATTGATCAGGTTAGTGATGTCTGACTGCTATTATTTTGAACACAACTGTATATATTGTACATGCACATCAGTCTCTAACCCTCAAGGGGCATACAATATAAGGTCCCTAACTTACATTCATACATACACATACTAGGGCCAATTTAGACAGGATCCAATTAACCTACCAGCGTGTCTTTTTAGCGTGGGAGGAAGCCCACACAGGCACAGGGAGAACATGCAAACTCCAGGCAGGTGGTGCTGTGGTTGGGATTCAAACCAACATCCCTAGTACTGCCAGGTGGAAGTGCTAACCATTCAGCCACTGTGCTGCCAAATGCAAGCAGGCGAGTGAAAATTTTGAGGCCTGCGTTATAGGATGTTTCCCGGGCGGAATTAACCTGAGATACTCTATGGTTTCTGTGCCAGAAATCTGACCAGTTCTCAGGCATGGATTCTAAGGATGGTTCAGTTGCCCACTTTGCCACATACTCTAGGAGGGGAGAGCTAGGGATGGATAGCAACACTATATAGAGTTTGGTGATCATCCCTTTGACGTGAGAGTCCGAAGAGGTGTTCATAGCTAGTCATGGTGTCAAGATTAGTATGCGATTGGGCCTTTGCTTTGTAAAAGTGTTTAATTTAGAGGCATCTGAAGACTTACGTGTTAGGGAATTTGTGCTGTTCCTGTAGGGCAGGAAAGGGTTTAAAGCCCTTTGAGGTGACCAGGTGGTGTAGCCTTGTTAACTTGTGCAACCACAACCAATGGAAGAGACTGCCGCCGGATAAAAGTTCAGGTTCTGGAGGGAAGACAACATCGGAATGGGAGGAGAATTCACTTTAGATTTATACTTTATTCTGTCCCATAATAACAGAGAGTTTCAAGATAATAGGTTAGAGAGCTGTCCTCTCTAACAGGAGGCTAGCCAAGCAAATTATCAGTAGAATGGGGGTTGGCATCAATGGCCTCTAGGCCAACCTATTTAATTCATTTTTAATTTTCAAAGCTCACCCATCCATCCTTGTCTCTGTGATTTATTTTGTAGAGAAATCACATTGAAAAACACCCCCCTAACATTTCTAGTCATGGCCATGGCTTGAGTAAGGGCAGATGATTCATGTAGCATTTACTTCCAGGAATCCATATGCCCTTAGCAGTGGTGTATCTAGGTTTTGTGCTGCCCTAGGCAACACAAAAATCAGTGCCTCCCGCAGAGAGAGCCTGACATTGACCAACAACACCCCTGACTCCCACCCGAGAGAGCCTTCCACTACCACTGCCCCCCATACACAAACCACCATCCCCCATGGCGAAAGAGAGAAAGATATTCACCTTCACAGCTCCAGACATCCCCAGGAACAAGAGTTGGGATGTGCATACACTGTCATGAAACTCTCGGAACCCACCAGGTCCCCATGCCGCTTGTGCACCTTCTTCCATCCCTTCTTCCAATGGGCAGTGCTGCCCCCCCGAATAATGCCGTGTTTGCCTTGTGGTAAATACACCCCTGGCCCTTAGCTCAGGCATGCAGACAGGAGAGTGTATTTAGCTGATAAAACCCCTCCACTCTGCCTTTAGATGAAAGGTAAAAAATGCCCCATGAAGACTACTGGGATGGATGACATTACTTTGGCCTAGGCCAGAAGCCAGGAAGCAAATGAAGAAATGTAAATATAAAATACCTCCCTATCTATTTATTAATGCTAGCAGCATAAAGATTAAAAATAGTTAATGTGGATTGAGGAAAATGTTAGTTCCACTCTAACTTGTGACCTGAATTCAGCTCAAGTTAACACTTGTAATCTAAACCACCTCTAACACATATAGTGTAAATAAACCATAGCAAGTGACCTCTCTTATTTGCCCAATTTCGGTCTGTTAAATATGCCAATTTTTAATTTGGACATTTTGCGATATATCTGTTTAAGGAGTGCTAAATAACTTGTTATTCTTGTGAGAAATCCAGAGCTATTCTGCATCCTCTGCACACTTTTTGTGATATCCCAAAGATCCCTCTTAGTTCTTATCATGGACTACGGAATAATTATGGTCACTTTAATGTAGCGATCTAAAATTAGGAGTGGTTCAGTAGTATAGAAAAGCTGTGTGCTGTCAGCCCATAACAGGACCTGGGAGCTGAGAGTCTTTCAGGCAGTTCATTCAGTTTTGTAATGTATAGAAGCACTCACAGATCCATAGCTCCACTCAAGACTATCCTCTCCTGCACATGGACAACCTGTGTGCCAGCCATAACAGTCCATATCCACTCTTCATTGAAAATAGGAAAAAATCAGCTGCACTCCAATTAGCTTGTTCTGGATTATTTTTAATATTCAGTGCATTGACTGCATATAGTGAAGTCTCCAACCAAACCCAGCCTTCCTTGATGTGTTTCACTACTCCTGGCTTGCTCACAAGGATAGGGGAAGTCCAGGACATTGTTAAATAATACACTATGAGAGGCCCCAATGTTTTATGAGTTTACTTCCAGAGTACCACAGAGTGCATGTTCGAGCTCTTAAAGAGACCACACACCATTTTGCCAAAGTCCCATATATAATTGCTAACAAGATCCAGGG